TTCAGTTCATAGCATCTAATCAGCCACCCTTTGTCACAGTGTTGACAGCCACTCCTTTCAGTAATGGGGCCCATTGCAGTGCTATTCACTGTTTTATTTTTATTTTTAGTGCAATAAAGAGTTTATTTCAGACTGTTTGCTCTTACGAGTCTGGGCCAGCTCCAGGATATCACTCGATGGGGGAGACGTGGGCATAGCCAGCAGGCTCCCTCCTGGCATCCCCCGCTCTGGGGTGGACCAGCAGGAACTGCCGAGGCTTGGGAAGCCTGAGTAGGGGCTCAGGGACTCCCAAGGTCACATGTGTCCAAAACTCTTGCCTACTGGTCCTCATCTGGACCTCAGACCCTAACCCTAACCCAAATTCTGAAACAGAACCCCACACGTGACTTTTATTTCTAACTAGCTCTAACCCGTCTTCAACTGAACTTGACATTCTCCCATCACACCACCTACACCACCTCTAAGCCCCCCACGTTTCTCATCCAACATGGTCTCAACTGGTAGTTCTCCAACCCCAACCCTTGGGGGAAAGGGCAGTAGCTGGAGCGGCCCCCTGGCTTCTCTGTGACTGTGTCCACAAGGTGCCTTGTCTGCTCTCTCTGACGCTTAGCATGTTGTCCATCCTGCACCGCTCATGACTCCTGTCCCCAGACCTTTCCTCAGCGGCCTTCTCTGCATGGCCATTCCAGGACTCTGCTGTCACTCCTTGGGGTTGTGGGGTGAGCCTGGTCTACATGAGGACTCCGGAGAGGTGCAAGGGAGCCTGCTGACTGTGTGTGTGTGTGTGTGTGTGTGTGTGTGTCTCCGTCCGCGCCCCGCGCTTTAGAAAGGATCAAATTACCCTGCCTGGTTTGGCTCAGTGGATAGTGTTGGCCTGTGGACTGAAGGGTCCTGGGTTTGATTCTGGTCAAAGGTACATGCCTGGGTTGTGGGTTCAATACTCAGTGTGGGGCGTGCAGGAGGCAGCCGATCAATGATTCTCTCTCATCATTGGTGTTTCTATCTCTCTCTCCCTCCCCCTTCCTCTCTGAAATCAATGAAAATATATGTGGAAAAGAAAAAAAAGGGTCAAATTGCAGAGGGAGGGGAGGGGGGCTGGAAAGGTGATGGGAACTTGAGCCTGAGCTCAGGGGGTCTGGGAGAGGAGTTGGAGGGACAGTCTGGGCAGGTGGGGGCGGGGCCTACAGGGTTTTGTGCCAAGTTGCTGTGAAGGGCACTTTGGAGGAAGAGTAGGTGGACCAAGCCTTCCTCCTGTCCTTCCCCCAGATGCTCTGCGGTCAGGCTGTGCCTCATTTCAGAAACAGTCTCTGAGCTTCTCTGGGACCTTGACCAGCCTCTTCCGTTCTCCTCTGTCTCTGTTCATTGCTTTCTAAGTCTCTGTCCTTGAGTTTCTGTTTCTGTCTTAGAATAGAAGCAAATACAACCCAAACCGTGGGGTATGCAAAAAAAGAGGGGCCATTCTCCTCTGGACAGCTCTAAATTTCTCAGGGAAAAGCAAGGGACCCTTTTTGGAAATTTGTGTGTTGGGCTCGAGGTCACAGCCTGGCCTTCTGTCTTTCTCTTAGGACCCTAGATGAGTCATTGGGTGCCACCTGTGTTCCTCTGCTTCTTAGTCATCACTGTCTCTCCTGGGGGCACAGAGGGAACCCCAGTAGTCTCCAGATTCTGTTCAGACCTTTATGGGACCTGAAAAGGAAGTGGTGGGGAAATAGGATGTTTGGGTGGAGACCAGGTTGGGGAAAAGGAGAGAGAGGACTTGGGGTAGGGGTCCTCCCAGGAGCAGGCCCTCTTCCTCTACTGAAGATGAAGCTCAGAAACAAACTTGGGCTGTGGGATGGTTCCAGAGGGAGGGGGCCATGGGCTAGACCAGTGGCCGGCAAACTCATTCGTCAACAGAGCCAAATATCAACAGTACAACGATTAAAATTTCTTTTGAGAGCCAAATTTTTTAAACTTAAACGATATAGGTAGGTACATTGTTATTAACTTAATTAGGGTACTCCTAAGGCTTAGGAAGAGCCACACTCAAGGGGCCAAAGAGCCGCATGTGGCTCGTGAGCCGCAGTTTGCTGACCACGGGGCTAGACCTAAACTAAACTGATACCCAGTGCCCTCACTTCACCACTCCCCCCTCCCCCCGCCCCCAGCCAAGCAGGGCTCAGGGCACAAGGCAGGAAGGCTGACAGCTGCTTTTATGGGCCCCAAATTGCAAGGAGGTGGCAATTACCCTCAGTGGGTCAGAGGAGAGCAAAAATGTGCCTTGCCCTTTGAGGCTTGGAGGGGCCCCTGCATGGTACCCTCAAAAGTGCCTGTTCTCCTAGGAGCACCTCAGCCCTCAGTCTTCCCCAACTCCTGTCTCTTAGACTCCAAAACCAGGACACCCCCCAGTAAACCTACTTCTGATAGACCTCATCTGCTGGTTCAGTGTGGCGTGAGAGCCCCCCTCATTGAAAATGGCTTCCTGTATCCCCTCCCCAGATGACTGCTGGGAGCTTTATAGGTGGTGAGCTGAGGTCATGGAGCAGGACTTCAGAGGTTACATTTGTCATTGGATTAAGTTGCTTCATACCCATCAGATGGGCTCATGTGTATTTGCAACTCTCCCCCAAACCTCTGGTCCCCAGTCAACATGTGCCATCGGCATTCTCCCAGAGCACAGGGATAAAAATTCTAGCCAAACTTGGCTTTAGCAGGTGGAGGCTGAGGTCTTTCTGTGTCATAAATAAAACCTAATGCATCCACCTGCCCATATAACTTTAACCCATGTTCTAACCCTAACCACAGTCTATTCTAATTCAAATTCAAAACTCAGTTCTAACCCAGCTGTAATCCCAATTCTACATCAGTCTCCACCCACCCTTTGATTGCATTTCAAGCATAGCTGTAAATGAAACAAAAACCCTATTCTGTATCATGGCATGGATCCCAGCCATCAACCCTAGCCTCCGCTCTGGCTGTTATGCTAACCCTAATCTCAACCTTAATTACCATCTCAACCTCAAATCTGACCTCAGCCTCATAATTCCAATTAACCCCAACCTTCACCCCAATCTTCATCCAACCTTCATTCCAACTCTAACATTAGCTGAAATCAGAACCCAATTAAACTCCAAACCTGCACTTCAGTTTACTGGAATGACAGCCTTACTCCTTTCTTTTCAGGCTCCCTCTTCCCGGTCCCACCTGCTCTCCCCTCTCCCCATCACTGACCTTCCATGCGTTGTCTCCAGGGGTCAGTCTAGTAACCCATGGGGCCGCCAAGCCCCTTCTTGGACCACTCTGGATCGAGAACCGTGATGCCTGGGTGTCCCCCCCCCCCCGTCAGGCCCCAGCAGCATCAACTGGGCTGAATCTTCATGTGTCTCCAGGCCTCTGTTCCACATTTTTAAAGTGGGCTAATGATCCCTGCTTTGCAGAGTGTGCAGGGCAATCCTATAAACCTCAAAATAAATAAGGAAATGAGGATATTCATTGTGCACATCTGGTGAGTCTCAGAGCACCCTGTTATTGTTGGGGGTGTGGGTGGAGGGGTTTGGGCACAGCAATGTGTGAGATCCTTGTGCTTCCTTATTGTTCTGTCTCATTTTTCCTGGAGGGGTCGGCCCTGGCGGTACCCCTGTCTCATCACTCTCTCCATGGCTCTTCTCCCCTCCTTCTCGTGCCCTGGCAGGGATGGGGGTGGGCTGTTGAATGGGGCCACTCATGACCTGACCCACCTCTCCTGATGCCCATGGGAGGCCCAAGGCCTGTTCTGGGACTCCCCTGGACCAACCAGCAAGGGTTGCCCCTCCACTTCCTCAGCCCACCAGGACCCTCCCATCCAGCTCTAACTTGCCCACCTTGTTGTCTCAGTCACCCTGATGAGCAGGCCAGGTTATGAGGGTCCTTGATCTCCCTCCCTGCACACAGAAGCAAGAACACCAAACAGTCCCTCAAAGAAGTGCACACGGGGTTTAGCCCACCTCAGTAGAGACGTGGCACATGCCGGTGAGGGTACACACAGGCACACCCCTTCCCTGGCCCTCTTGGTGCTGTCCTCCCCAGCATCCCCTCACTAACCCATCCACACACCCTGGCCCTTCTCCCCTCGGGCCTCACCGAACTGGTTTTAGTTTAGTGGGAGTTTGGGCTGGATCCCTATAACACCCCCAGCTCCTAGGGATCCCCTACATTCGAGGATGACCTTGCATCAGGTATTGTTTGGGGGCATAGAGGGGGCGGCCAGGGGAAGACCCTGACCCCAAACTCACCTCTTCCCTCTCTCGTTGAGCTCAGTAGGGCTGACTTTCTTGGAGGGGCCAGAGGCCTCAGGTGGGAGGCGGACTGGACATCCCTGGGTCCCTTTCATCTGCCTGGGCCTTCCCTCCAGCCCTAGTGTCCCCTTCCCTGGTGCCCCTCCCCACAGACCCCTTCAGAGGATCAGGGATAGGAAGGGGCAGGATTTGGAAAGTGTGTCAGACCCCTATGCCCTGAGGTCAGTGCTAATCCTTCAAGCCCGACACCCTCCTCCCCAAGCCTGGCTTCTCCTTCCTCTTCCATTGTCCCCTGGGGAAGAAGGTAACAAACCCGAGTGGTGAGGGGAGCTCCACGGACGCCATAAAACGGGGTGACTATTGCCACTGAGGACGGGGCCAGGAGGAAGTGGAAGTTTAACAGGTGCCTAATTACAAATCCCACTGGCAGCCCTGCCCCACTCTCTGGCTAGGGAAGAGCTTGGGTGCTGGCTGGGTAATGCCTGGGTAGGCCACTCTGTCACCCCGATAATTAGGGTTTTGGGGACTCCTCCCCAAGGCGGGGACCTGGCCCCCTCCCTCCCATAGAAATAACTCTGGCTGCTCCCCAGCCAGGCCCTCAGTGCACCTTCCTACCACCCCGGGGCAGTGTCTGGGCCCTCATCCCCCCCTCCCTCCACCCATCCCTACACACACACTACCACCGGCCCCACTGCCGCCGGCCCAGGGATACCCAGCCCAGGCGGAGGAGACACCGAGCCTCGAGACATGGGAGTTCGAGGAGCCTTCCACCTTCTGCTCATGTGCCTGAGCCCAGGTATGGGGCTAGGCAGCAGGCAGAGATGCCCGCACGCTAGATGGCAGAGAAAGGGGCACGGAAGGGCGTGTGGAGGAGCCTGGCAGTTTCTGGGATGTCCTGGCAGGGAGTGGTCCACCCTTGCTCTGCTGCCACCAGGTTTGGATCTTGCCAAGGGGCCTCTTCCCAGGAGAGCAGCAGGCCCGGAGTTTGGGGCAGAGGTCCTGGATGGCCCCTCACGGTGGGGCTCACACATGCACGCACCTGCTGTGACTGAGTACAGGGAGTGGGGTGGATGGGCAGGTGAGCAGCAAAGCTGGGTGGGGGCTGAGGAGGAGCCTTTTCACCAGTGTGTGTGTATCCAGCAGGAGGGCCCCCACCCCAGGCCAGAGCCAGGGCAGGGAGCTGCCTGCAGAGGGCAGAGCCTCAGCGAATGTGGCCTGAGTGGCTGCTCCCAGCACTGCCAGCTACAGCCCTGACCGGAGGCCTCCCCTCTGGGCCTTGTGTTGTGAGAGTTCCGGGGTAGTGCTCCCCTCCAGGAGGGGCCGGAGGAGGGTGTGGACAGCAACTCCACCGGGGCTCCTGTTGAGGACAGGGCTCAGGTTGGATGTCCTGGCTCCCTGCCCAGGTTGGGGCAAGTCTCAGCACGGGCCACTCTGTGTGGGCGCTGCTGGAAATGGCTCGGAGACCCACCCCGGGGTCTGGGCTGGGGGCGAGGGAGTGTGGGAGAAGGAGCTTATGAAGGGGGAAGGATTTTCAGCCTGTGTGTGTGTGTGTGTGTGTGTGTGTGTGTGTGTGTGATGAGTTTCTGGCAGAGTGTCTACAACTCCCCCTGTTTGGTGAGAGCGAGGCTGGTGGAGCCTGTACAGGAAGCTCTGGCTGTGCTGTGGGAACCTGGGGCATCTCCGTGTGGGTGGCACGTGTCCTGGGTGTGTGCTGCGTGTATTTATGCACTGATATCCTCTGGTGGGGGCCTCCTTTTCTCCCCTCCCTCCCCTCTCCTTCCTCACCTCCAGAGGGAGGGTTAGGAGCTCTGGAAGCAGCTTGGAAATTCACAAAAGATTTCAAGTTGAGAATAGACACTACTGTTGAGGTGATGTCCACAGAGGGTGTGCAGCCCCTGGGGACGAGTAGCCACCACTGCCCTCTTCCTTGCAGCCCGCTGCGATTTCCTCCCCTGTCCCCGAATCTCCCTGCCCAGGGCTCTCTTTCTCTCTGGCTTTCTTCCCTCTCTCCTGCCTCTCTCTTCTCTCCTACTCCTCCAGTGTCACAGCAAGAGAAACCAGGGTGAGACACCAGGAAGGACTTCCCCAGGAGAGTAAAGGCGAGCAGAAGGGTCGGAGCCCTTAGGAAGAGATTGAGGAAGCTTTGAGGGAGACGGAACGGCTAGGATGAGGCTCCCTGGCCTGGGACAAAGGAAGACACGGAGCCAGAGCCTAGTGCGGGGCGCAGGCACTCTTCCAGCTTGGCCCTCCTTCCAGGCCCCTTCCCTGAATACTTACCCTCCCGTGGGCTGGCCCCCAGGTGCAATGAAGAGTCCTCTCTTTGTGGGTAGCTTCCAGGATCCCTGAGGGCAGAGGCTCTGCTCTCGGCGGAGTTCTGGCTCATCCCTGGCTTGCCTGGTGCCGCCCCAGGACCTGGGAGATGGCATCTGGATCCTTATCTCAGAAATGAGCTGACTTCTCCTTCTGGGGCTGGAGGAGGCATCACCAGGTCCCGTTAGAGGCCCAGCAGGGAGCCTGGCCGCTCTGAGTGCCCCTGGAGCCTAGTGGGGTTAGAGCAGGGCTGATGGTCTAGCCAGGGTTCTGAGGGGCAAGTTCAGGGATGCCTGAGCTGTTGGGTGTCGCAAGAGTGCGTGCTGGCTCTTTAGAACTGGGTAAGCTTCTGCAGGTAGGCTTGGTCTTGAATGAGCACACGGGGACGTGCAGTGGGCGTGTCTTCTGGATTAATCTGGACCTGTGTTGGTGTGCAGATGTGTCTCTGTATGAATCTGATAGCATTCATGTGTAGGAAGGTGGAACCCCATAAGTGCATTCCTGCATTTAGAAGGCTTCCAGAGTGTGTCTATGTGTTTGGCTATGACAGTGTAATTGTGTGTCTGCGATGCTTTCTAGCTGTGAGGTGGGTCTCAGGAGAGCCAGAGGAGGGCAGAGCAGAGTGAGTAGCTGAGGCTAGGGGCTGAGACTCCAAAGGACTTGTTGCCTCTCCACAAAGAATGAAGGGGGGTGATCCAGGCTGGGCCCAGGGACCTGGGGAGCAAGGAGCGCAGGAGATTGGGAGGCAGAGCCTACTTGCCCTACCTGCCGAAGTTGGGGCCCCGGGCACACCCCCTTCTATTCCTCTCTGGGTCCAGCTGGTTGGGGTGAGCGCTTGCCTGGGGCTTCAGAATAAAAAGGGGAGGAGCTCCGTGCTGGGTGTCCAGACCCCAGGTCCTCACCCAGCTGACTCAGTGGGGCAGGCTGGCAGCAGTGGGAGGGGACCGAGTGAGTGAGCCTATGGGGGCAGCTGTACCTGAGCCTCACAATCACGAGAGGGCAGGACACACAGTCCACGCTGCTACACGTCATCACACCAGGCTCACTGTCCTACAGATGCATGTGGCCTCAATCCCAGGCACACACCATTATTCACTGTCACACACGAATTCAGCTCAGTCATGGCCACCCACTGTCATGCACAGGCATGCACCATCACTCAGAGCACTGACACAACCAGGCACCTGCTGTCACGCACAGGCACACGGCCCCAGACGTGCACCATCATACGCAAGACACACACACGGACATTTCCAGTCTTCCCCTCCTTGGGCTGGGAAGAGGTGATACCATCCAATCCTCCTGCCTCCAGGTAGGAGCACTTCATGTGGCCCAGACGGAGGCAGCTTTTAACCAGACCAGGCTCCTCTATCAGAGCATTTTACAGCTCTGTGTGCTCCATGTGCACACTGTACACACACACACACACACACACACACAAAATCATGTATATATATAAAAGGCTAGTATGCTAAGTGTCCGACTGTCTGACCAGTCGTTATGATGCGCGCTGACCACCAGGGGGCAGATGCTTAATGCAGGAGCTGCCAAGCTGCAGTGACTTGGCAGTGGTGGTTCTTGGGTGATGCACCCCAAAACCAGAGAGGAGAGAGCCCGATTCCTCATGGGGCTGTGAGATTCCACCTTCGGCCATGAGTTATGTTGTTGCTGGGGCACTGTTGGCCCTGAATCTGGTTTACTGCTCACTTGTGTTTGTGTCCCACATCCTGTATGACAGCAACTCTGCAGAGTGCCCTCTCGCATTCCTGGACTCCTCAGGGAATATCAGAGAGCTGGTTTTGGCCTGATCCCTGCAGGCCAGGCCGAGGGACCCCACCTGCTAGAGGGACCCTGCTCACTCTGCCAGGGTGTCCCCCAAGTGCAGCTGACTGGGGAGGGACCGTGAAAGGTTGGCTCCAGGGTGTGTCTGGCCCTTCTCACCCAGTCCAGCCCTGCCAGCCACCTTCTAATTAATTTCCTTTCAATGTGCACGAATCTGTGCACCGGGTCACTAGTGTAAATATAAAAGCAGACAACCTACCTGGTCATGGCATGAGTATCCTTACAGTACACATAAGCAGCTATAAATACTCATAAGCACACATGTACACTTGTATACATACTCTTACATGCATACACAATCATGCATACATACAAGCATATCTAACAGCTATATATACAGTATATACAAACAGGATTCAGATGCAGCCCTACACATCATAGAATATGATGCATACACACGTGTGCACAGGCCTGCATATACTGCTTCATACACACACAGAGACACACATTTGGAGCAGCCCCTCCTTCCTGTGGAACCCCCACTGAGCCTGGGTTGCTGCTGATAGAATGGGGGAGGGAGAGGCTGAAGCCCACCACCCAAGTTCTGGTTCAGTTCCCCTCACCCGGCCCGTTCTCCTCTTCTACTAGCACTGCTGTCTGCTGTGCGGATCAACGGGGACGGCCAGGAGATCCTGTACCTGGCAGAAGGTGACAATGTAAGACTGGGCTGCCCCTACATCCTGGACCCTGAGGATTATGGTCCCAGTGGGCTGGACATCGAGTGGATGCAGGTCAATTCAGAACCTTCACATCGGGAGAACGTGGTGAGTTCTGGGCACATGGTTCCCCTTACCCTACACTCCATGGTCTACCTGATGGGCAGCCAACACTCTGAGGGGAGAGGAGGGCAGATAATCAAACCAAGACCTTGAACTTCCCCCATGGCCTCTTGTGGAATGGGGCAACAGGGATGAGAGCTCTGCAACCATTCCAAAGGCGTGGTGCCTGCCTTCAAAAGTTCCCATGCCCTGGCCAGGTGGCTCAGTTGGTTGGTGCATCGTCCTGTATACCAAAAGGTTGTGGACTTGATTCCTGCTCAGGGCACATACCTAGGTTGTGGGTTCCATTCCCAGTCGGGGCATGTACAGGAGGCAATGGATCAATATTTCTCTCTCACATCAATGTTTCTCTCTCTCCCTTCCTCTCTTTCTAAAATCAATAAACATATCCTTAGGTGAGGGAAAAAAAAAAGAAGTTCCCAACTCGCCCTTATGTGTCCAAAATACTTGCTCTTACTTGGTCCCACCCATGTTGTAAGGGGTCAGGGGACCAGGCATCATCATTCCCACTTTTCAGCTGAGTAAAGTGAGTCTCAGAAAAGCTGAGTGACTTGCCCACCTGGCCCTCCTTGGCCCTGCCTGTCTCACCACCCTGTTTTCTTCTCTTCCTCGCAGTTCCTTAGTTACCAGGACAAGAGAATCAACCAAGGCAACCTCCCCCACCTGCAGCAGAGGGTCCGCTTTGCAGCCTCAGACCCCAGCCAGTACGATGCCTCCATCAACCTCATGAACCTGCAGGTCTCCGACACAGCCACCTATGAGTGCCGGGTGAAGAAGACCACGATGGCTACCCGGAAGGTCATCGTCACCGTCCAAGGTATGGCCGGTCTCCCCTGGGTTCCCCTTCCCTAGACTTCAGAGCCAAGGCTAGTATGGCCACTCTTGGCTGAGCCTGGCTCACAATGGCCTGCTTTCCTGCAGCTCGGCCCGCAGTGCCCCTGTGCTGGTCTGAGGGCCACATGGCGTATGGCAACGATGTGGTGCTGAAGTGCTTTGCCAATGGGGGCACCCCGCCTCTCTCCTACAATTGGGCCAAGATCAGTGGGCACACCCACCCCTACCGGGCAGGATCCTATCACTCGCAGCACAGTTTCCAGTCTGAGCTGTCCTATCAGGAGTCCTTCCACAGCTCCATCAATCAAGGTGAGGGGGACCGGGAAGAGGTGGGCAGGATGAGCGGAAGATCAGGACTCTGGGACCCGCTGGAGCCTCCCTGAGCCACAAGTGGCACCAAGTCCAACCTAGAACCTCGTGGGAGACGCCTCCTCTGAGCCTGTTTCAGAAGTTGCTATTGAGAGAAGAGGAGGCAAAGGGGTGGGGAAGGGTCAGTCCAAAGCAGCGTGGTTAATTTGGCAAGAGCACAGTCTGAGATAGACAGCTGAGCTGGGGCTTGAGTGCTGGCTGGACCGCTGACTACAAGAATCAGGCAAGTGGCTTAACCTCTCTGTGCCTTGGCTCATCCTGTATGAAAAGGGAGTAAGAACATCTTTCTTCCAGGGGCCTGTGAGGATTAAATGGGGCGAAGTGTGCAAAGCTGCCGGCATACAGAGAAACCGGCTAGTACCCAAAATCCAACCAAGACCATCAGAGCTGGAGGGAGCCTTAGAATTCCTCTGCTGTGACCCCAGCTTCCCCGCACAAAGGAGGAGGCTGAGGCTCAGAGAAGGGGCATGTGTCTCTAAGGCAGCGGTTCTCAACCTGTGGGTCGCGACCCCTTTGGCAGTCAAACGACCCTTTCACAGGGGTCGCCTAAGACCATCCTGCATATCAGATATTTACATTACGATTCATAACAATAGCAACATTACAGTTATGAAGTAGCAACGAAAATAATCTTATGGTTGGGTCACAACATGAGGAACTGTATTTAAAGGGCCAGAAGGTTGAGAACCACTGCTCTAAGGCCACAGAGTGAATTAGTGATGTCTCAGTCCTGTTGCTGGTGGAAGGGTTCTTTTTTTAAATTTAAATATATTTTTATTGATTTCAGAGAGGAAGAGAGAGGGATAGAAACATTAATGATGAAGAGAATCTTTGATTGGCTGCCTCCTGCACGCCCCCTACTGGGGATCAAGCCAGCAACCTGGGCATGTGGAATCCAACCCCGGACCCTTCAGTTCACAAGCTCCATCCACTGAGCCAAACCAGCCAGGATGGGGGGGTTCTTCCTACCTTCTCGGTTTCAGCAGGGGGAGGATAACTCACCTGGGGTGTGGAGTGGACCTGAGGGTGTGTGCCCATACTGTCCCTCCTCCCACCCCACAGTGCCAGGGCTGAGGCAGGCTCTCAGACACCAGGCCCCTCCGCCTCACTGTAGCTCTGCCGTAACTTCAGTTTCAGGTGTGTATAACGGCGATCTGGTGTTGAAGGACATCTCCCATGAGGACAATGGGCTGTACCAGTGCACGGTGGCCAACCACGTGGGCTACAGTGTGTGTGTGGTGGAGGTGAGGGTCTCAGGTAGGTGCCCTGGCCTTGGGGGCCCTGTAGCTGGACTGGAGGAACCTGAGCTGGAGCCTGAGCTGGCTCTGCCTGCCCATTGCATCCTGTGTAGGTCTCTGCCTAGGGCAGGTGGGAAGCCCTGGGAGAAATATGCAAACATAAGGGGTTACCTTGCATCCCCCCGCCCCCATCTTCCTCACGGAGTGTCCCAGGGCCCTGAGCCCCTCTCCCACGGAGCTCTGCCCTGGGAGAGCCTGACCGGCCTCTCCTTCTTTCTCTCCACAGACTCCCGGCGTGCAGGCGTGATCGTGGGTGCAGTGCTGGGCTCTCTGCTCCTGTTGGGGTGCCTGCTGCTGGCCATCTGGGCGCTCACCTGCTGCTGCTGTGGGGGAGCTGGCGGGGCCCGCGGGGCCTTCGGCTATGGCAACGGCAGCAGGGTCGGCGGAGGGGCCTGCGGAGACCTGTCCAATGAGATCAGGTAAAACCTGATGCATGCTGCATGCTGCTGCGAACCGGGATGGCGCCCCGCCCTTCCTCACCCCCGCCCGCCACTCCACCTGGCCCGCCACCTCCATGGAGCGCTGGGACCCGGCAGGCCCACGCCACTGGCCTCATGCCCAGCCTTCAGCTCCGCCCCCGCCCCCAGGGCCCTCCGTGCGCCCCTCTCTGTCTGGCCTAGACTGTAAGCTCCTGGAGGGCAGGGCCTGTGTTTTTCCACGTTTGCCCTCTATTGAGTGGTGAGAACTCTGGTCGTGTGTATTTAAAAAGAGTTCTTAAGACGAGTGCTACTAACTTATATTAGAAACAAACTAGAAATAAAAATAGAACAAGACTTGCGGTGCTCATGATTGCAGTGCCGGGGACGGGACGGAGGGGAAGGTGAAGGTTGCGGGCGGGAGGTGAGAAGAGGGGGCGAGAGGGCAGGGCAGGGGCGTCAGGGAGGAAGGACCAGGGTCTCCGCGGTTCCCACCTATTCCAGGCGGTGGTTCGGGATGGGGGGGGGGGGCATCAGAAAGGGACTGAGAACGCCCAGATGGGCCGCTTAACCTGGGCTGTCCCGACCTGGTGGACAAGCCCTGCTGGAGGC